CGCCACAGTCGTCATGCCAAGCAATGCCAACACCCACACAACACACAACACAACACCACAACACAACACAACCAAACAACAAATGCACACACAAACAATCACCTTGAGTTCTTCGAAGCGGGTGTTGAGGAAGGCCAATTTCTCCTGTTGAGACGCAGCCTCCAGTTCCTCGACCTCTGCTTCCTCGTTGACTTCTTCCAGGTCGCCCTCCAACTCCTCGTCCGTGACAGCAAAGTCAGACTCCGAGGCCATCTGGAAGCCAAGCTTGGCCGCGTCCGCCTGCATGGCCTTCAACGCATCGTTGTTCTTGTCCATCGTCGTGGCTGCTGCTGTTGTCTTCCTCCTTGGTTGTGGAAATGATGAGTCATCATTGCGTTTATGCACTTCATGCTGTCGTGTTTGACATCAATTACACCAACGAGCCACCTTGCTTGCTCCATCAACCACTGCACCTTGCTTGCTTTCGCCCTCGCCATGTCTGTGCCAGAGGCGCGCTCGGACGCCATCTTGGATGCCTTGGAAGACCTGGCGTGAGTAGTCGCAGCGCCAACGGTAGCTAGCAGCTCGCAGTGCTGGCAGTTGTAGCAATGGGCGTCTCACTGGCAACCGCACCACCCACGCTGCTCATGCACCACGTGGTTCTTTCTCACCCATCATCATCAACCATCCATCAGCAACCATCATCAACCCAGCCATTGCCAACTCACACTTGTATGCTTTGACAGGTACTCGCCGCTTCCTGGCCCTGATGACTTGGATGAGGCACTACTGGAAGGCGTGGATTCTCCACTCTTTGTTGCCATCTGCGTGTTCCTCTCAAACGCCATCACAAAGGCCAGGCGCCTGGAGACTGTCGTGTCCAGTGGTGCGTTCCACCCTCAACCCATAACCGCCTACACTCCTCTCTGTGTGCTTGTGTGCTTGTGTGCGTGTGTGCGTGTGTACGTGTGTGTGTGTGTGTGCGTGTGTGTGCATGTGCGTGTGTGTGTATGTATGTGTGTGCGTGTTTGTGTGCTTGTGTGTGTGTGCGTGTTTGTGAGCTTGTGTGCGTTTGTGTGTGTTTGTGTGACTGACGCTGCATTTCTTGTGTTGCGTATTTCATGGTTCGGGTTGCAGGTGATGACACATCTGCCCTGCTGATTGAGTTGAGCTCGTTCCTGCAAGAAGCCGGTCAGTACAGCGCGAGTGACCAAAACCACCTTACAGTGCATGCACTTGTGTGTGTGGCCATATTTGTGTTTTCTCGCTTACTTGACTGGCACACATGTCCTGAACACGTTCCCCTGCTGTACGTTCAGGGTGCCCATTTGATGAGTTTGAAAAGGACACGTTTGCCGCCGTCCGCGATCTGACATCACGCATCAACCTGCTGGGTAAGCAAGAAACCAGGTGCTCGTGTGCCTGTGCCCGCATGTGTGCGTATGGTGGTTACGTTGGTGCCACGGCTCCATACACATCTCCTTTGCTGTTAGCCCACGAGCTCTCCTCCTGCGTCCATCTTCCTGCAGCCCAGCCTTTTCTCTGTGTTTCACCCCAAACACGTGCACCCTCCATCTCATTCCTCCCCGATCAGAATGGCTGTGCTCCGAGGCCCAGACAGCACGCATGATCCGCTCACAGACCAGTGACAAAATGGACGTCGCCACAGATGTGCGGCACTGTGCTGCGTTTGGTTGTATGTCTGTGTTTGTGTCTCTGTGTATGTCTGTGTTTGTGTGCGTTTGTGTGTTTGTGTGTCTGTGTATGTCTGTGTTTGTGTATTTGTGTGTCTGTATATCTGTGTGTGTGTGTGTGTCTCTCCCCTCTGTGTGTGTGTGTGTGTGTGTGTGTGTGTGTGGCTGCCTGTCTCTATGTCCCTCTGTCTATCTGTGAGCCTCCTGTTTGTTTGTTTACGCAGTTGCGGTGAACGTGTACCGTGCCGACTGCAATCACATGTGACGCAAACTGAACACTGTGTACTTTTGGTTCGCGCACCCACAGTTTGGTACAAGCGCGGAGGATCGCCTCGCCAGCGTCCTGTCGACCCTCGGCCTCTCCGACCGTACGTTGCCCGCTATCATGGCGGTGTCTCGTGTGTCACCATGCTGTCCTCATCCTCCCTCGCACCATTGCTCCGTCCTCTACTCTGTCTGCACGTGACCTGCAAATGTCGTTTCCCGACATGTATTCCTCTTTCCTTGCTTCTGATTTTGGTTGTGGCTGCACTTCCAACCACCTCATCTTCGTTGCTGCAATATTCCATGGCAGGTGCACAGTCTACCACGTCTGAAATCTTCTCCGCCATCACCGCGAGGGTGAGCCGTGCTGCACCTCTTGCGCCCATCCTTCCTCTCACAAGCCACCACACCCTACACCATACACACACACATACGTGTGCATTGTCTCACTCACACCCCGCTCTTCGCTTGTCCTTGCATCGATACCTGTTAGATTCAACATCTGATGAAGCAGGCTGGACAAAACTACATTGAGCCACCCATCCTCTCCCACAAACTCTCGCCAGAGCAATGGGTACAACCCACGTCGAGCCGTGTCCATGCTTTTGGGGGGGGTTGCCTGTGAACAGCCTCATGGCATGCTCTCATTACATTCACCTCCTACCCCGGTGCTTTGCCACCGCTCCTGTCACCACTCTCACCACTCTCACGATCATTCATGCCTCCCGACCCCTTGCCCACCACCAACACCAACAACAACAACAACAACTTAAACAACTTAAACAACAAAAACAACAACAACACCAACAACACCAACAACACCAACAACAACAACAACTTAAACAACAACACCACCACCACGTCTTCTGCCACCACCACCACCACCACCACCAAGGCCAAGCTTGAGGACATCAACGCGCAGTTGTCTGAGGAGTATGCGGTGCGGCGGCAGATGCTGCTCAAGCGAATCGACGTCACCATCCAGTCCTTCAAGTGGTCTGACAGGGTCAAGGTCAGTCGCGACATATGTATGTATCTCTGTGGCGGGTGCATGTGCCTTTGCATGTGTGCATGCTTTTCGTGGTGCGCCTTCCGTGTGCATGTCACCTGTGCGTGTGTGTGTGTGTGTGTGCGAGTGTGTTTGTGTGTGTGTGTGTGTGTGTGTGCCTGTGTGTGTGCCTGTGCGTGTGTCTGTCTGTGTGTGCGAGTGTGTGTGTGTGTGTGTGTGTCTGTCTGTCTGTCTGTCTGTCTGCCTGTCTGTTCGTGTTTGATCCACACCTGGATCGGCTCTTGCTTACATGGAACGACACTCCCCTTTTGTCGCACTTCCTCCCAATGCGTCTGTGCTCTTCCTCAGAAATCGCTTGATGAGCTTGAGCGCAGCACACAGCCGCTGCGTCACACAATGACAACAGCCAGCGACGTGGACGTGCACGATGTCCTCTTTGCTTCCAGAGGTGAGCTGCCTGCAGCTTTGTTGCCAGTCACGCACGCCTTGCATATTGTCTCCTCGGTGTTTTGTCACTTGTGCATCCACCGTTTCCTTGATCGCTGGCTTGTGCGTTTACACACACACACACACGCACGCACGCGTGTACACACACACATTTCCCTCGTTCCACTGGCGTTTTGGGATTTAGACCTGCTGAACATCTCCAAGACGAGCGGTGCTGCTGTCCGCCACGCCACCGCAAAGTCGAAGATCCGTGGCATCTTCATCGGCGATGTGCGTTGCACACATGTACACGCACGCACGCACGCACGCACTCAGTCAAGCGCACACGCACTCAAGCACGCGCGCGCGCGCAGACACATGTACACACGTGTACACACACGCACACGCACACACCCGCGCGCAGACACAACACACACACGTGTGACGCAGTCGCGCTTGCATTTGCACATTTCCACGCACATGCAGACCCGCACAAAGCACACGAACATCACACGCGCACACGTTCACGCATGTCCTCCTGCTGCTGCTGACTGCCGACAGGTTCCCGACCGTGGTGGCCGCCCGACAGAGCAGCGCGCTCCAGGCATGATGCCGGCCTTCAGAAAGGTGCATGCATCTGACCTGCCATGAATCTCTCGGTGCTCTTGTTCGATGGCTTGCTTGCCGCCCTGCTTGGGGTGAAACCAGGCACGCATGCTGGTGTTGATGCGTCATCCATGAACCCGCGCCTTCCCCCCCCCCCCCCGAGCTCCCTTCCAGCACATTCCTGCCTTCATGCAGCCCCCATTGATGCCGCTCGAGCCCTCTGATTCTTCTTCTTCTTCTTGCCACACACATTCTTCTTTACACACACACACACACACGCACACACGCACACGCGCACACACACACACACGTGCAGCGCACTGTAACGGCCCGGCCTCAGCGCAACAAGCGCGGGAACGGTGGTGGTGTTGGCGGCGGCGGTCGCAACAGTGGCGGTGGCGGTGGACGTCGGCGTGGCAAGAAAGGAGGCAGGGTGCAAGGAGGTGAGAACCATGACATGACATGACATCATACGCACGCACACACGCACGCACGCACGCACACACACACACACACACACACACACACGCACGCACGCACACGCACGCACACACACACACACACACACGCACACACACACACACACACACACAATGTCGCGGTGTTCATCTTGTGCTGTTTGCGTCTGCTTCTTCCTTGTTCTGTCCCCTTGCTTGCTCTCTACGCCTTTGTCTTTCGTCACATCATGCTCTGACTGACTCGCATCACGTCATGTCACGCCACCCCGACCACAGGTTGGAGCAAGAGCTGATTTCTTTTGATTTTTGTTTGGCGCTGTGCTAGAGGGGGGGACAAGGGTTGTGCGACACTTTGATTTGCCTCCGGCATTGGGTTGAGCTATATTGTGGTGCATGATGTGCTTGCCCGGTTGCCGTGTGCAATCTACATATGGACGGTTCAGTGATCAAAGGGTGTGCGTGCCTTGAAGATTTTGCGCACGGATTGAAGGTTTGGAACATAAAACGAGACTTGTTACTGTTGTGGCCTAGAAGCTGAATAAAGGGTGCAGGCCAGCGAGAGTAACGGTTGCTATTCCTCGCGTCATGACAAGCGGTGCTTGTTCGGGCGCCCACACACACTCGCACCACAACCCCGTGAACTGTACCCCCTCACATCACCCGACACGGCTCACACCTTGACCTTGTTCCTTGTGGTCGTGCACTCTGTTTCCCGCCTTCCCATGTACACGTTCCCATCCACACAGAGGGGGAGCAATGCGACGCCCGTAACGTCAATTCAAACTATGAGCGGCAGTCAATCACTAGCTGTTGTTCATTTCCATCTCCTCTATTCCATCCACTACCACAAGAGAAGGGCAAAGGCCGCGTCCCCACCATCTCGACCACACAACACAACATACACACCCAGCACGCCCCATCCCTCCTCCCTCCCTCCCTCCTTTCTCTTCACGTCACCACACTCTTTCCAGGACCACGACAGAAACACGCATCACCCTCCCTCCGCTGCGCTCGCAAACCCGCACACGATCACATAGAGACACACGCTATCAGTTCTCGACGGGGCAACACATACAAGCCTCTTGTTCGCCGCTCTCGCCACGTCGCCTTCGGAACAGACGCAGCCACATACGTCCCTAGACCACACGGCCGGCGTACCATCTGTATCGGTGTGTCCGCAACCTGAACAACAGGAAGGAGCCAGGATGCCTCGTCGTTCGAAGCACATCAAGCGCCCCATGAACGCATTCATGCTGTGGGCGAAGGACAACCGGGCCATGTTCATCGAACGCCACCCAGAGCTGCACAATGCGGACATCAGCCGGTTGCTCGGCGGTGCCTGGACCACGCGGGTCACGGACGAAACAAAGCGGTACTATGCCGAGAAGGCAAAGCAAGTTGCCGAGGAACATCGTCGCAAGTACCCCGACTACAAGTCAGTTCCACCTGTTACTTGCTCGCGTACTGCCACAACAAACACTTGCAGTTTGACCTTGCAATTAGCTTCTTGCACCCCCATGCCATCACCACCACGACCGACAACCGATCCTCTCCTGGCGTCATTCACCCCCCCCACCCCTTGTACCCTGCTCTCGTCGCTTCTTTGCCGTTGACTCACTCCCCCTTCGTGTATACGTTCTGTTCTCCCCCCTCCCATCACACACACACACACACACACACACACACACACACACACACACACCGCTCAAACATGTTGTGCAGGTACCAGCCGCAGCGCAAGGGCGAGTCCAAGCAGAAGACGGCGGGCGAGGTACTGCGCAACGCCGACAAGTACGCGGAGTATGGCGTCACCGTGGGCATGGACCCCATCCCCAAGACCGAGGAGGAGTACGACAGCGGCCTCTCGTCGTGTGAACCTTCTCCAAAGCAGTGCAAGACACGCGCGAAGAACAAGACCAAGACCAAGGCAAAGCCCAGCACGTCCAAGGTGGGACGCCGCGCGCAGAAGCCCCAGCGCGCACGTCGCCGCGTCTGCTTCGCCGACACGACAACGTCCGACCAGGACGAGGAAGAGCTGGAGGAGCAGCAGGCAGTGGAGGAGGTGAAAAGCATTGCGGCCGGCCGCCACCTGCCTGTGCGCCGCGTGCAGACCCGTCGCTCCACCGCCTGCGTGCCGGAGCCGGGCGACTGGGGCATGCCGCTTGACGGCGACTTCTTGATGGACTCCAAAGACAGCATGAGCAGCATGGAGGGCGAGGACGCCGGCCTGACGCTTGCCAAGAACACCAGGGGCAAGCAGGGGGTAGCAACGCATTCACGCCACCACCCTGCCCACGAAGCATGTCTGCGATTCGACCTGCGAGTGCGCACCCGCAGCCTGAAGGGGCTGGAAGCGCTTCTTGGCAGTGACGACGACATTGATGTGGGTGATGATGAAGACGATGACGACTACGATCCTCACAAGGACATTATCGGGGCATACTTCCCTTAAGCTCTCGACCTCCTTCCTTCCTTCTGTATTTCTTGAACTCGGCTTGCTGTTCTCTTGTTTCCCTTCAGTCTTCTCGGTTGTCTCGCCTGTGTGTGTGTGTGTGTGTGTGTGTGTGTGTGTGTGTGTGTGTGTGTGTGTGTGTGTGTGTGCGTACTCAGGCAAGCCCCCTCGTCAGTTTCAAGGTTGCTTGTGTTGGTTTGTTGGTGCTACGATGGCTTCTCGAATCAGAGAAGCCGGTGTTCAGGCGTTTCTGTCCTGCTTTCCCTCGTCCTGCTTAACCATAAGCCCAACTTTCGTCTTGTTGATCTGTACTGCTTTTCCAATGCGACCTGAATGCACACACGCGAACTTTATTCTGGCACTCTCATGCTTTCTCTGCTCCCCACAGTAAATGAAAACGATTGGCCACAAGTGATGTTGACTGCCACACACGATGCGTGACACGAACATGCACCCGTCCGCCTCATTGTCATTGTCACTGTCACACACACACACACACACACACACACACACACACACACACACACACACACACACACACACACACACACACACTCGCAACAGTAGCAGGTGGTGTTGCTTCAAGGGAGATTGACGCCTTGCATTTGAAATGTTCAATCAAAGAAGAGAACGGAACAGGGTGCGCGGAGGCAGGACGTCACACCGTGGACACAGACGCACGCACACAGCATGCATGCACTTCACGTGTCACACTCACAACAGCCAAGACGAACAAACGATGGCAGCAGACGGCGGTCGTTGAGCCTGTCTTCACAGCTCCTCCTCACCGCTGTCCACGACTTCCTCTTCCTCGTCCATGACCTGGTTTGCCTGCAGGTATTTCTTGTGTGCGTTGGGCGGGTAGCGCATGGCCTTGACGGACTCATTGTGGAGCTTGAGGCAGAACGCAATGCGCCGATGGAAGGCCTCCTGTGGCTCGTTCGTGCTGTACACGTCAACCACCTCCTGCAAGCAGTAAAGAGCAAACCGCACACAAGGTAACAAGGACAAGTCACATTGGTGTGAGGGGGGGGGGGGGAATGCTAAACGAGCACACCATTTGCGCATCAAGGGTACTTGGCTGTGCAAGCCCACCGCCTGTGCCAACGATGCACACACACACACACACACACACACACACACACACACACACACACACACACACGCACACACACGCACACACACACACACACACACACACACACACACACACACGCACGCACCTTCGAGGTGACGGTGCCGGCAGAGTGGTCGATAGTCGCGTCAATCACACCGTCCTTGATGGCCTATTTGCGGTAAAACAGCACCGTGTGAGCTGGACAAATCAACCAGAGGGGAGGAGGAGGAGGAGGAAGAGCAAGGAGCACACAACAGGAGCACAGGGAACAGCTACAACTTAACAACAACAACAATTCAGCAAGCAACACCAGGGCCCACCTTTGCGACGACGTATTCTGCGTCGAGGGCAGAGTCGAGGCCGAGCTTCTTGGCCAGGTCTGCAAGGGAGATGCGGCTGTAGCTGAAGGAGATTGTCTTGATGCCAGCCTTGATCACGCTCTGCCGCAGGCGCAAAATCAGCTTGAACGTCTTATCTGCACAGAACTTGGCGCGGTGCTCCTGCACAACCCGCGAGAACGTGCCAACCTCCCCAAGGCGCACGGCTGGGCAGGTGGACGAAGGGGCAACGCAAGATGACTGCATGAGGCGCGGCAACTAGGGTTGTACAACGATACGCCACACACCCGCACACATCGGCACATGTACCCGCACACACACACAATCACACAATCACACACAATCACACAGTCACACAACATACAATCACACACAATCACACAGTCACACGCACACCCACGCTAACAGATGTGCACGCGAGCATACGCACCGTGTGTGAGCTTGAAGTACGGCTCGAGCGGGCGCTTGAGGTGCGGCTCGCGGAAGAGGTCGCGCTCGGGAATCTCGCCAAGCAGCATCTTGACAATGACATGCAGCTTGTGCACGTGCTGCTTGAAGCCAATGGCACCCGCGGGGGCCTTGCGTGCGGCCTGCAGGAGGCAGTGGTCTGCCTCTGTGTACTCGAGCTGAACAGCCTTGATGCGGCCGAGGTAGTACAGGAAGCGCGCAGTCTCGTTGTTGGGCGCAGTCTCGGGGAAGGTCACCTTCGACACCAGGAGCTCAGCCTGGCACGTGGAAACGGCGCGGGCATGCGTATGGTGGTAAGAACGTATCGATAAACATGCGTGCATGTGCGCGTGCGCGTATGTGTGAACAAACATCAGCCTCGACGCATAAAACTACCAAACGGCACAGACGCAACCACACAAGTGCGTCAGCACACAGAACAGAACTATGAGCACACCTGGTCGACAAGGTCTGCGTTCAAGTACAAGCGCAGGAGGGCGTTGATGAGGACAGCCTGTGTGGGCACATTCTGCCGCAACGTATGCACGCGCAGCGCGGCGTGCAGCGTGCTGAACGACAAGGGAAATAAAACAGGATGTCGTCACACTAGGGTGAGTGGAAACGGTAGCAGCATATGTGGAAGCTTACAAGGAGGGCATAGGTTGATGCAGCAAAAAAAAAAAAAAAGTCACGTACGAACACACGGACACACACACGCACCGTCACACACACACACACACACACACACAGACACACACACGCACGCACGCACACAGTCACATACACTCACGTCTTGATGTCCCATGCCTGGCCCCGCAGCTCGTAGATGCGCGTGTAAAAGTAGAAGACGGTGGCGAAGAGCTGCCAGTGGAACAGTCAAACGAGTCACAAAGCCATTGTGTTGAGTGACCACATGACGGCACAGCCCACAGACCACACACCCACGCACACCCACGCACGCACACACACACACACACACACACACACAACAGCCAGAGATATAATAGCTGTGCGTACCGGGCTGGCCTCTCGGTGGTCACTCTTGTCAATGTCTGCAACAAGTGCCTCAAGGATGTCTTTGCTCTGTCAAAGTACAGCAACACAAGTGAGCGAGGAATACCATCATCATCATCATCATCATCACTTGTGGTGCTCATGTTGATGTGGACACCAATCACAGGACAGGCACACTCCATCAACACAAGGCAACCCAACACGCACACACACATACAAAAGAGCAAGTCAACAAACCAAACCCACCACCATGACCATCACCATCACCATCGAGTGTTGCATGCATATGGGGGGGGGGTTATACCTTGTCCAGGTCTGTCTCGCGAAGGAAGTAAAGGGCAACGAGCAAACGAAGATACATGGCAACCTCGTGTACGCCCTCTCCTTGTACCACGGACTGGCTCTGCTTTGTGTCATCCTCACCCTCGTCCATGCTCTCTGGCTGACCAAGCAGGCTGATGATGGTTGATCGTTCCTCGCCCTCGGCCACCAGCTGCTGTGTTGCACTTGCAATGGCCTGCGGGGAGAGACGCGCGCGCAAGCTGGTCACGCGGCGCAAGGCGCGCGCAGCAAAGCGCACATCCCGCTCGGAGACGGCCTTCCACACCAGCAAGGCCGCATCCACAATGTCTGCATAGAGAAACCAAAGAATGAGCCGACAAGCAAGCAAAGCATGGTGCCATCAAGCATCCACGGGTCACGACGATGAGCCGCACAATTCATGTTCGAGGCAGGTCATCACGCACAGCATCATCACCACAACGGCATCGCAAATCTAATACGCTGCACATGCTCGCACGCAAAAGCAAAGCAGGGCACACCAACCAACGGCATCAGCCAACCAACGCATCAACCAATCCACGAGGCCCACCTTTGGCCAGCAGCTTCATGGCGTTCTCGGCCTTTTGTTCTTCTGTCAGCTCTTCCTTCTTCTCTTCCTTTTCCACCTTCTTCTCTGCTTTGTCCTCCTTTGTCTTGGCCATTGTGACGGCTTGTTGTAACGGCTTGGGTGCCTGTGCCGGTGTCTGTGCTTTGTGTCTGTCAGCAAGAAGCGAGGGGGTGCTGTCTGTGTTCAGTTGCGGTGGGTGAGTTCGTTGCTTCGTCTGTCTGTCGTCGTTTCGCCGGCAGGTTCCCAAAATGGACAATTCTTGCATTTTTATTGTCGAAAGAAAACTTGCCTCTGTACTTGTGCGCGAGCAGCGTTTGTTTGTGTTTGCTGGTGTCTTTTGTTTGTGACAATGACATGAGCTGTGCATGCCGGTGTCGCTGTGTGTATCGCTTGTTTGCCGTGCTTGGCCCTGCGATGCTTGGTGTTGCCATGAACATGTGACTGATACCCTTGATCTGGCGCAGGGGTGGATGTACTCGGTTGCTCAAAACAGAAGCACCAAAAAGGAAACAAAAAGCAATACAGCCGTGTGCCACATTGATAAATTATTGCACACAAGACGAGATAATGATGATGTTGTTTGAACGCGGGTTTGTGTAATGTATACGAGCATACTGTGAACGCGCGAACATGTCAATAAACACGCCACAGACAGCTCGCGGTTATGTCGATGGGGCGACAGAGGAGGAGGAGGAGGACGATGACTTGGTCCGTTTACGCTCAGCACGGATGGCTCGCCCAAACGACGCGCGAGTTTGCTCCTGCGTGGTCATGGGAGAGCGAGTGAGCGCGGGGCCGGGGGAGAAGGCAATGCACAAACTATCGAGTCAATACACGCAAGGCTAACAAGTGGGTGCACACAAACATGCACACACACAATCATGCAAGGTACACACACAAGCACGCAAGGTACAAGCACACACACACACAATCATGCAAGGCACACACGAAAAACACACACGATCGCACACGAGACACACACACACACACATACACCTACCTCGTCCTTCTTGGCGTTGTCGTCAATGAACGCCTCGCCACTGCTCACCAACACCTCCATATCGCGGGTGATGGCATCCAAGGATTTGATGCGCTCGCCCTGCATCGTGTACAGCTTGCGTGCGCGTCGCATCCCCAAGTTGGACGCACACGCAGTTAACAGCTGCAAAGACAATTATGCGAGAGGGGAGAGAGGAGAGGGGGGAAGGAAGGGAAGGTAGAAGGAAGATGCACAAACGAAAGTGAGCCGCGAGTGATGGCGAGCCAAGAGCAGCAGAGGCAGGCAGAGATTAGAAAAGGCGGCTGCACATGAAACGTACACACGGACAGATAGACAAATAGACAGTTAGACAGAGAGAGAGAGATAAACAGACAAACACACACGCACACACACACACAAACATACACAGACAGACAGACAGACAGACAGACAGACAGACAGACAGACAGACAGACAGACAGACAGACACATACACGCATACGCAGGGCACTGAAGACAACGACAACTCGCACCACACCCCACCGAACCAGAAGCAACAAAACTGACCGCGGTCATGCTGTCGCCCATACAAAGCACGGGTGCCGACTTGCTGGAGCCATTCTTCCGCGCCTGCACGCGCACACGCCTCGACACGGGCTTGCTCAGCCGCGCAATGAGCTCGTTGGACATGCCTGTCGACCCGCCACCGCCGCCGCCGCCGCTGCCGCCCTTGCTGTCTCTGCCGGCTCTGGACTTCAGCGCCCTGAGCTCCTCACGATTCGCCTTGAACGCCTCCATGTCCTCCTCAATCTCGCGCCGCACGACGTCCCGCCGGTCGTCCACAGTGCTGCGCTCCGTTGACGACAGCGCACCCTGCAGCTTGTCCGACAACGACTTGAGCGTCTGCTTCTTTTCAGCAATGAGCGTCTTCAGCTGCACCAGCTCCTGCTTGAGCTCCTTCTTCCTGCGGGCAATGGTCTCCGGGTGCTGGTCCGGTGGGGAAAACGGTTCGCCCATCGACACCCACAGGTCTGGGATGGCGCCGTCCCCACCGCGCTGCAGCTCGCTGTGCTGCTCCGGCGACAGGCTCTGCAGTGCCGTGCCCGTACGCGTGTACAGCACGCGCGCAGCAGACGGCAGATTCAGGCGACCTGCGCCGTGTGTTGGTGAACGTGTTGATGCAGTTCGTGAGGAAACGTTTGGTGTGGTGACGGGGGCACACCCACCAGCCACCTGCAAACACACACACACACACACACACACACACACACACACACACACACACTCACACACACACACTCACACACACACACTCACACTTACACACTCACACTCACACTCACACACTCACGTATATGGCCTTTGCAAGACACACGGTCAGCCACAGCCGATGAACTACAGCCACCATCACCGGCATCACTGTCAAAGGATACGAACTTGTTGCATCGGAGAGGAAGAGGCCGAGCTGCGCGTGTGCGTCTGCACGCGGGGCGACGATGATGACGGCGTTGGCGGGATCAACGTGCCCGTTGCGGAACACGCGCGCACGGAACTGCACGCCAGGGTCCAGCCGGGCCGAGGGTGCAGCTGATGGTGATGCGAAGTGTAGTGGTGATGATGGAAGTGGTGGTGGAGATGATGAGATGAGAAGAGCAGCAGCGGCAGCAGCGGACGGAGCTGGGAAGTGGCAGGTACTGACAACAGAGGAGAGGAAGAGGGGGGGGGGGGCAAGATCATTCTCGAAAGTCAAGGCCAATCAGACAGGAGGATGCACATGTTCAAACACAAACACCAACACCAGCGCCGGCCTACCTGGGTGGGAAATACCACGGGCGGTTTCCTCGCGCGCTTGGAAGTGCGCCAGACACTTGTCCCACCTCGAGATGCTGGTAAAGCACCCAGACACACACGCGCGCACGCGTGAGACGATTGGTGGACGACAAGATAATAACAAGCGAGCAAAAGCACAATTCATGCACACATGCACAAGCAAACAAACAAACAAACACACACACAACGAAACAAACAAACAAACACACAACGAAACAAACAAACAAACAAACAAACACACAAGCCATTCAACCAGACAGACAAACAACCCACCAAACACAACAAACAACCAAGCAAATAAACAAACTCACGCGTCCTCGACTTGTTCGGCAGAGGCCATGTTTGTCTTTGCGGCGAGGATGATGTGCTGGGACACGAGTGAGGCGCGCGGTCCGTTTGTGCCCAGGCGCTGACACAGCTCGCGCTGGGAGGAGCAAAACGCGCACGCAAACGTCGACACGCCAACGGGGCGGGCAGTGGCCTTGTGCTTGGACATGGCTGCGCACACTGCACAGCTGTTGTCGTGGCGGAGGTAGGCGGTTGGTTGGATGGTTGGTGAGGAAATCATTCCGGGTAATTCAATACCACACGCACGAACGTTTGCACATTTACGCGGCGTACGCAGGCGCACAGAGAACGCAGCCACACCTTCACGCATACACACACACACACACACACACATATTCACACTCACACATTCACATGCAAACGAACCAGGTTCCCTCGACGTCTTCAAGAACAAAGCCTGCTTGCTTGATGGGCGTGCCTTCTGTCATGGCAAAGGTACACATGCTGCACTGCCTACCGATTGAGCATGCAAATACCGTGGACGAACACGCGTACGCCTGCAGCAGGTGGCCGCCGCCAGGAGCAGGGCACAGCTCCCAGCACTGGTGGGCATAAAAGGGCTCCTGAGCAGCAGCAGCAGCAGCAGCAGCAGCAGCACAGCAGGACATACCGCGGTGAGAGGGGTGAGGACATATTGTGACAGGCTCAAAAGTGAAATGGCGGCAGCAGCAATAGCGGGAGCAATTACACCATGAGGTAGCGTCACTGTACAAGCAGCACAGCACAGCGCAACACAAGCAGCACAATGCACCACAATGCAACACAGCACACAGCAGCGGGACAAGGGAACGTACGGGCGCCTTGGTGGCAAGGGCAAGCGACGTGCCCTGACGGCCGAGTTCCGGGACGGTGAGTACGAGCGTGGCGTCCATCGCAGACTGCAGGAAGGCGCCCTCCATCACCCACTTCTGCGTGGCATCGCGCGTGTCCACTGGCACCAGCTGCAGCTCTGCACCGGCCTTCAGCGCCTGCGGTGCCAGGCAGTGTGACCTATCACCAACAGGGACCAAGTGTCGGTCCGGCGTCAACATCCACGCTGCATGCGCATCTTCCAATCCACCACCACCACCACCGCCACCACCACCGCCATGGCTGCTGCTCTCCGTATCGCTGTTGTTGCCGTCGTGGTCGTCATTGTTGCTGTCGCCACTGTCGCCGCTGTGCTGTGCGGCTTCCAGCTGCTGCAGAATGTTTCCCTTCTCCCGCAGCAAGCACGTCTCGCCCGCGGTGTCAAACACAACAACAACTGCGTCCTGGCTGGCAAACATGTCCGCAACTGCACGCATGTTGCGCATGTCTGCCTCCAGGTTTGGCAGTCGCTGCAGCACAGAGGGCGGGGGCACCCACGCCTCGCCGCACGTCACCAGCAGCACCTGGTTCGGCTGCAGCTGCTCAAGGTCTGTGACGGCATCCCCTTGCTCCGTAAACAGTGCGCGGGCAGGCATGCTCATGCCCAGCGCACGCGTGCACCTGTCCAGGAACAGCTGCACCTGCAGTTCACGCATCTTGGCTGCGTCGCGCGGGTTTTCGCGGGACGTGAGGATGGTGCGCCAGCCGGGCCCTAGCCGCTGCTCAAACCACTTCTGCGTGTCCACGGGGAACGCGCGGTTGAGGTCCAGCTCTGGTCGATGCTCGCGGGCCCGCAGCCCTTCAGGCACCAGCACCTCCACAGGCCGCATGCGCGTGCCGTTGCGCACAACGCGCAGGCGGGGCATGGTCATGACTGTATCTGTGATGGACGCGCTGCTGCTGCCGCGCCCGCCACGCATGCGCTCCATCGATTCGTGCAGCGTCTCGCGTTTGCGGCCGCGCTTGGCTGGTGGCGGCTTCCACGCCACCGTCGGCACCAGCAGCACATCCATGGGCCACAGCAGATCCGTGTTCCAGTTGCCCGTGGTCGCTGTTGGCCAGAGCATGCAATTCTTCACCCACGATCGGCTGCCGTTCACGCCGCGACACGCCTTCCACTGGCCCATATGCTGGATGGAGTCGTGCTTGAGCCCCCACTGCTGCCGCCGCTTGGCCCTGCGCCCGCTGCCCGTGTGCACCTCCTGCAGCATCAGCACATCGCCGCCACCAGACGACCCGCCCACGTCATCGAAGAAGCCGCCCGCATCACTACTGCTTGTCGAGTTGAGCGGGCTCTCCCCATCACCACCACCACCACCACCACCGCTGCCGCTGCTGCTGCTGCTGCCATCATCCTTGCCCGCCAGTGTCAGTGCAAGCGCTGGGTTGACTGCACTGCGAATTGTGCCGTCGGGAGCAAAGTGCCACAGCATCTCGCGCGATGGCGGGGTTGTGCGCGCCCCGAGCCCAACCCGGTACGCCACGCCCGACTTCTGAGCCGCGTCCCTTGCAGCGGCATCATCACCGCCAGCAACACAACCGCCACTAGCAGCAGCAGCATCTGTTGTTGTTTGGTGGCAGACGAGGGCGAGCGCCGGGAATGCGCGGGACGTGATCTCTGCCCACGTCGTGTTGGCGTCAACACCATCGAGGTGCGACACGTCAGTCACCTGCCGCAGCACCCAGCGCTGCATCAACGGCGCACCGTGCTGCCGCGGCCCGCGCACCAGCGATGGCGTGAACAGGAGCGAGTGGTCGTCCTCCAGAGTTGCATGCAGTGTAACGAGGTTCGGGTCCTCCAGGGCCGTGTCGCCAGGCATCATGTCGTGCGGGCGCCACGCAACGTCGTCGCACGCCTGCAGGGCCGGGCAGTGCAGTGGCGCGATTGAGATCACGTGAGGAGGAGGAGTGGGCACGACGAAGAAGGTGGGAGAGGGTGCTGACGAGTAAGAGTGAGCGAACTCGCACTTGTGCACCCACCAAGCACAAGGCAAAGAATACGCACAAGCGCGCAATGGAACACACATGCCATGCACATGACATGCACGCACACAAAACGCATTTGCGCGAGGATGTGTTCTTACAAGTGCTTCGGTGAGCGATGACAGGGCGGAGAGGTGGGCGGATGAAAGCGTGTTCATATCAACAGCGCCGCCGCCGGCGAGCAGCTGCCGTTTCCCATCAACAACAACCTGTCCACGCATGGTTTTCGGCAGTGAGTGTGAGCGTAGGTGCGAGCTGAATATGTTGTGGCGAGAAAGGAGGAACAATTGGTGTGAACACGATATGCCACTCGACGAACAGCAGCACGTGTTCATGCATTGCATGCGCGCGTACTCACATCCACCACCTCCGCCACCGCCATCGCCACTCTATGCCGAAACCAACCGTTTCGACGCCGTCGAATGCGAGCTTGACCACCGTCAGGTTTGCTGGCGTAAAGGGCTCGCCACACGACACCCAGATGTGCGTGTCGTTCTCCAACGCGTGCAAATCGCGCAACACCTTGCCACCCTTGAGGAAAATGCGTTTAGCTGATTGGGTGAATCCTAGCTGTGTTGTGCACGCAGCAAGCAGCAGTCCCATCATCGTCTCCGCCTGAAATGGGGAGGAGCACAAGTGGAACGATAAGAGGGGTGAGCGTGAGTGCGTGTGCTTGGTTGTGTGTGTGTGTGGAGAATTCTTTTGTGTGTGCGTGCGCGCGCGTGTGTGTGCGTGTGCTTGGTTGTGCGTGTGTGTGTATGCACAACAACGCACGTACGTCGCCTGTGCGCTGCGCTTCGCGCAGGTTGAAGTAGAGCGGCTGGCCGGTCCCCTACAGGCGATGTGGTGCAATGAGACAGCGCAACCAACCAAAGAGATACAGACGATGTCATTGCGTGCGTGAGCGTGCGCATACATGTCGAACAAAGGCCAATCAGCATCCATAATGAAGCCACCAGCAGCAGCGGTCACTCCACCGCCAGCGAAGCTCACGTCTGTGCCGTTTGCGTGGACGATGAGCTTGAGGCTGCCGGCAGCGAGGAGGCGGTGGTCGTCCGAGATGGGCCGGATACGCGACGCGCTCCCGTCCATCTGAACATCAGTCAGATGCCGCTGCTTCCGCTTCAGGAACCTGGGCAATGATGGTGGAGATTGTGGTGGTGATGGAGGTGGTTAGTTCGTGGCGGTGATGACGATGGGGATGGCGGTGGATGGAAGGTGTGCAACGGCGGCACTCTCGCAAATGGGCTTGCGCAAGACGGTGAAGAGTGATACTGACTTGATTGCGGCGGTGATTTGGTCAAGAAGCGCCTGATTGGAGTCAGTCTGCTCGCTCTCGACAATACGATCGATCGTTGTCACTCGCTGGAGAGCGTCCACTTGGCGTGAGGCGGCAGCGATGAAACGCGGCTTTATGGCACAACCCACCCAGTTCACATACACACACACACATCACCCAGCCCCCCCCCCACCCCACACACACACCTGCAGCTCGTCCTGTAGCGCGGTGTGCTGGCGCTGGAGGCGGTGCAGCTGGTGCTGGATGAAGTTGAGCGGTCCCTCGGGCTTGAACACCTGCGGCAGAGGGAAGGGGGGGGGAGGAGGCAGTTGAATGAAGGGGAGAATGAAGGGGAGAATGAGGGGAGGGAGGAAAGCATGTGAGAGGAGGAGGAGACGGCGACACGCAGATGCAGGCATGGACAAGTCAACGACACGAACACATACATGTACACGTCCACAACACAAAATCACACATGCACGTCCACACACGTCTGTCTTTGTGGCGATCCAGTAAGGCCCGCGAATCCTGCCAAAGATGAGGTGGAGTTCCGGTCCGCAGTCCTCCGCAGCCGCAAGATCGCGCGTCTCGTTGCCGTCCAGATCAAAGAACCGCTCAACTTGAGACGTAAGCACAAACCTGACAGTGGGGGGGGGGGGGGAGGGTAGAGGAACGAAACACACACACACACACACATACACACATACACACGCACACACGCGCAAGTACACGGGTGCGTGTACACACACACACACACACAAACACACAAACACACACGTGCGTGCACGGATACACACAGGTGAATGCACGTGTGAATGTGTGGTTGCGTCCCGGCAAGCACTTGTATGTGTGTGTGTGTGTATGATCATTGCTGTGTCCTTCAGTCACGCACACGACACCAGCACGCAATCGAAAGCAATAGCATCCCAACGCACTGTCTTGAGCAGTCCCGGACGAATGTGTCGTGGTCTCTGAGCGGAATCGTGTGGTGGTGTAGTCCATCCCCGTTCTATTACAGCGAGCAATGAACCAGTGCATGCAGGGAGGGGCGTGTGTTACTCGGGCGATCAAACAGCAATCGCATTGTTTTGGACGCGCACATTCAGCGGCGAGCAATTGAGACAAGAAGCAGCAACATGCATACACATACGTATATACCCCACCGCCTTCCCGCAACACACACACACACAGTCACACACAGTCACACATGTTCACGCACACACAAACACGCATCCATGGTTACCTCGAAAAGGACGACGCGTGTGCGTGCGGATGCTGTGATATCTGGGGCGCGGGCACGGAAAGAGCCAGCAAGGCTGGAGACCGGGGTGGTGCTGCTGCCACGCAGGGTCGTCAGTGCCTTGGTGATGTCTGTTGGCATGGGGTGACGTGAGCATGGCATGCACGGCCAGCTGTAAGCAGTCGATATTGGAGACTAGAACAGCAAACACCAGCTGCGCACACGCAGCACACACATACACGCACACGCACACACTCACATACGCGCACGCACGCACGCACACACACACACACACACACCACACGCACATGTACATGCAGCACACACGCGCGCGCACATACGCACATGCACACACACACACACACATACCAACACACGCGCACAGTCACCGACACTGACTTGGGGTGAAGGCGATGGTTCGGTTGGCAGCAGCTGTGGAGGTGAAGCGGCGGCGTGTTGCCTGTTGCGCGGCGACCGGATCGACAAACGGCTCGCCGCAGCTCACATACACGATGGCATCACCAGGGAGCATGCTGCACTCCTCCGTGGTGACCATCTCCCGCCCGTGCTCGTCAAACAGGCGCCGGGCAGCAAAGGGAAGCCCCAGCTTGCGCGTGCACGCGTCCAACAGCTCAGCCATGCTGGCGCCAACAACACGATGTGCCACCTGAGGATCGCCGTTCCGGTACGCGATAAAGCGACACGTGTGCGCACGCTTCTGGTACACGCGCGGCTGCGTGCTGCGGACGCTGCTGGTGGTGCTGCTGGCGACGGAGGAGAAGCTTGAGTTGACGCTGGCGCCACTCAGGGGCCGGTCCCTGCGCACGTGTCTGCGGGGGTGGCGGTGGCGTGGCGGCTCTGCAGATGTTGCGCGCGAAGATGCAGCGCTGTGGTTTGAGCGGCCAGACCGCGGGCGTGCCCAGTGACCCGGCGACGCCACGTGCACACGCATGGGCGGGACCGCATATGGCGAGCGGGTGACGTTGCGGCTGCTGATGGAGCCCCGGGTCCCGCGGGTTGCTGTGCGCGCAGGGCCCGAGTGGGGGCGGTGGCGGTGGCGGCTGCTGCTGTGGTTGCGTGTGGATCCGCGGAACGACTCGTCCAGGTCGCTCATGGCCGAGCTGAGCGAGGACCTGCTGGACCGGCGACTGCTCTGCAGCGAGGTGTCACGGCTGTCCATGTCGGACGCGGTGTCGCCATTGTCGTCATCTCTTGCATGATGGCGATGGTGATGGCTACCGCTGCGCTGAGAGCCATTGGCACGCTGGCTTGTCTGCTGGCGAACCTTGCCCCTTCCTCCATACGCCTGTAATCGATCCAGCATGCGTTTTGTGTGTGTGAGTGTGTGTTTATGTCAATGTGTGTGCTGGGCGAGCGAGAGGAGACAAATTTGTGAAAGCAGGCGCAAGACGATGAAGGGGAGATGAGAGTCAGCAAGGCGCAGGTGGGTGAGTGTTATGGCCCACATGATTGTGCACACCTCGTGAGTCTTTCGCAGCTGCATAGCCTCGTCGAGTCGCTGCAGCAGCTGACCTCGCTGCTGCAGCTGTACAGTTGTTTGTGTATGCATGTGTGAGAGGGTTTGTTGGTGGAAGAGAAGGGGGCTTGGAGTGAGGAAGCGATGGATCGCTGCAGACCTGGGCACAGGGATCCCTGCTTGAACAGGGTTGCACACACATGCAAGGGACGAACGAACCACACACGCACAAGGGACGAACGCACACGCACGCATGCACAGACACACAGACACAGACACACAGACACACAGGCAGGCAGACCGACACAAACACGCATGAATACACAGACACAGACTCACAAACACACACACACACACACACACACACACACACACACACACACACACACACACACACACACACACACACACGCACGGTTACCCTGGCGCGACGTAGCGACTCGAGTGAGGAGGAGAGACCTTCGTCGTCACTTGGCTCTGTCGTGTCACTGCCACCACTACCACCACCACTGTGCTGGTGCAGTTGTTGTGTGACAGGTCCACTGTGATGCTCAGCCTCGCTCACAATCGGCATACCCCTCTGTGTTGTTGTTTGTTGAATGCTGGTTGGTTGCCGTGCCTGTGCGCGCTGTCTCACTTGCTTGCTTGCTTGGCAACAGCAGCCACGTGTGTGTATGTGTGTATGTGTGTGTTGGAGAGGCTTTGTAATCTTCCGCTGGGCTGTTGCTTCAATTCGCAGCAGCAAACGTGTGAGCTCGTTGGCTGGCTGGCTGGCTGGCTGGCTTGCTGGCTGGCTCGTTGGCTTGCTGGCTGGTTGGCTGGCTGGCTTATCAACCTTCCGACGAGAGAGAGTGCACCCTGAGTCCGATCAGGCAAACACGTCTTGGCACTCTTGTTGCTTGTTTGTTGGTTGTGTTGTTGTTGTTGTTGTTGTTTGCTTGTTGTTTGCTTGCTCGTTGCGGGGCCTGCATCGGTTGCCTTGGGCGCTATCCACCAATGCGCACTAGCCGCTAAAATCAACTAGTCGTATACTCTGCCGCGAATTTCAGAGCCGCCGTCCGTTTTCCTCGCCACCCAAACAAAACTGCCAAGCAAGCACAGCAAAGCAAAGCAAAGCAACAGCGGCTGACCCCACCCCCTCCCCCTGCCGTACCTTTGCTGCGTTGCTGCTGACCTGATCCCTGACTGGTTGCTGACTGGCCTTGGAGACGTCGTTACACTTGACACTTCTGCCAGCCAGTTAGGCGTATCTATCTATCAGTGCCCCCACTCTCCCGCCCTCTCTGCAGTCGGTGGGTCACGGCTGCGCGTCCCTTCCGTTTTGGCAAACTTGCTCCATCATCAAGCCACTCGGGGGAGTGATACCCTCCACCAACTTCACAGCAGCGCTGCGTTTTGGCATCGTTCGTTGCCCGAGAGCGTGCGCGACAGCTTTGTACCTGGCCTCTTCCTAACTGGCCCACTCGGCCACTGAACCAAGGGCCCAGAACACACACACACACACACACACACACACACACACACGCACACACACACACACACACACACACACACGCACACACGCGCATCACCAGCACACACACACACGCATCACCAGCAACGACAACAACGACAACAACGACAACACACGCACACATCACTGGCAACAACAAGGACACCAACAGCCAGTCCAGCTGCTCAGCTCAAGCAACAGCAGCATGGAGATCAACCCGCTCTACTTGGCCATCAAGGCCTTTGTATTCCTTGGTGAGCATGTGATATGGTGTGGGCTGCGGTTGGCGTCGCTGGTTCTGCGATGGTGACGCATCTGCTCTGATTACGTGTTGCGCTTTGCTGCAGTTGTATTGTGTTGTGTTGTGTTGTGCTGAGCATGGTTCGTGCACGCACTTGTGTCCCCACATGCATGCAAAACACAAACACACACACAAGTGCGCACACACATATGCACACATGCGCATGCGCAACTCACCCTTACTCACACCCTTGCACCCACGCACACACACCCACACACACCCACACATGCACATCCTTACGCACGCACACACACACATGCTCACACACATGCATCACCCCCTCCCCTCCCCACCTCCCACGCCTCGCGCTTCGTTCCGACTCCAACACAGTGTGGCCACTGGTTGTGATGATGGTGCCAGCGCTGGTGGAGGATCTGTCACACGGCGGCAACGCTGCGCTGATTTTCTTCGCCCTGGTACCGCACTGGGTGCTTGCCGTCATCTGGACAGGCAGCGCCATCACAGACTGGTACGACATTGACAGCGACATCTTGTCGACGCAGGAGATTGTGGTGGCTGCCCCCGTGTTTGGCGTGGTGCTCCCGGCGTTCATCCTGGTGCCAATACTGCGAGAGGTGGCGCTCTCCGAGCCAGAGTACAACGTGCTGCTGGGGACCACCATCCTGCTGCCCGGCCTGTGGCTGCCGCTCATCGCCGCCATCTTCCAGACACCGAAAGTGCTCGAGTCTGAGGAGGCGTCGGCAATGGGCATGAAGAACGCCTACCGCGCCAGCTTCGATAGCGTCGCCGTCATCACCAACGAGATGCGCAAGGGCTACTTTGGCTACCTGCTCGCCGTGGGCATCCCGCTGGGCGTGTTCCTCCCCGTGTACATCCACCACGGTGATGAGATGACGGGCGAGGGCCAGGCTGCGTTTATGTTCTTCATGCTGCTTGCGGGCTGCATGTCGCTGCTGTACAACGTCGCCTATCGCCTCGGCGTCGTCTTCCATGGCACAGACCCGGGATGCTCGCGCGCATCCAGCATCGCCATTGTCAAGTTTGCGCTGTGCGCGCTGCTGGTGCCGCTGGTTGTGATGTTGCCCGTGCTGCGGTCGGCGACCGTCTCCCAGGCGGCGCACGACGTGCTGCTGTCGTTCAACCTGGGCCTGCCCGCCCTCACCATCCTCGACATCATCCGCCTCAAGTTCTACGAGAAGGACCGCCGCATGTTCTACCAGCTCACCGCCGTCGCCGTGCTGGTGCTCATCATCCCCTTTTGCGTGCTGCTGCCCGCGCTGGTGGCTGCAGACAGCATCTCCGAAGACGGCGAGACAGCCATGCTTGTCCTCATCCTCTCCCCGCTGTGCATCCTGCTGGGCGCTGGCGTCGTGCTCACCGCCACCCACTTCCACAACCTGCCCTTCCACGTGCTGACGGTGCTGCTGTACCCGCCGCGCTGGGGGGAGGCCATCTACGCGGCGGTGCTCCTGCTCATCCCCGTCGCCGTCATGCTCCCCATCTACTTCCACGGCGGGCTGGCATACACCCCGAGCCTCGTCTTCATCGCGTACATGGGCGCCATCATCTTCCTCCTCGCCACAGCCATGCTCGTTAGCTGCTGCGTGCGTGCGCCGGGCGAGATTGTGCGCCCGCACCTTCCCACCACCAGCCGTCTGCCCAAACCCCGCAGCGCGCGCACAGCGAGCACGGCGAGCACGGGCAGCACCAGCAGCAGCAAGCGGTCGCGCGCAGGCACGTCTTCGTCGCAGCGGTCGGCGCTCAAGGACATGATCTCCGGGCCGTCAAACTTTGAGCACAAGGCGGGCTTCAACAGCACCATCACCCCTGGCATCAACGGCGTGCACAGCGCTGACGACGTGGCCTCGGTGGCCACGGTAACAACAGCCGCCACAGAGGCAACAGCCGCAGCGAAGACGCCCGAGCAAGGCGAGCAGCAGCAGCAGCAGCAGCAGCAGCAGCAAAACGGCGCGGTGTTCCAGTACACGGGCCCTGCGAGTGCCGCGTTTGACGTGAATGCGTTGGAGACGCGCAGCCGTGCCAACACGTACCAGCTGTCACGGACCAGCACGATGGACAGCGTGCTGCTTGACGATCGCCAAGCGCGGGCGCTGGCGGCGCGGGAGGCCATGCGCCCCTCTGTTGAGATGCCCGGCATGCGCGCACCAGGCACATTCCAGCCCAACGCGTGGTCGCAGCGGCCGAGTGGACAGGCGGAGGTGACGCAGGCCACGCTGCCACACGTGCCACAGCGGCCCACCTCACAAGAGAGCAGTGGCAGCGGCAGCGGCGGCGGCGGCGACGGTGCAGCCCAGCTGCGCATGAGTGCGAGCGACTATCGCAAGAGCGTCATGGAGCGGCCGGACTCGACGTATGAAGAGTCGCAGTTTGACAGCCGTGAGCTGCCTGAAGCGCGGCAGGATTTGGTGGTTGAGGGCTGGGAGCCAACAGTGATTTGGACGTACGACGAGACCAACGACCAGCTCCACAAGCAAGAAGGTACCGTCACAGTCGCCTGATTGGTTGTTGGTGTTGCTTTGCTTGTGGTATTGGCGTCTGCGTGCCGATCGGTTGTGTTGTTTGCTGGTGGGTTTTGTCATCTTGTTGTTATTCACTTGTGTGTGCGCATGTATCTGTCTGTGCATGTGTCTGTGTGTATGTGTCTGTGTGTGTGTGCGCGCGTGTGTGTGTGCGTGTGCGTATGTGTTGTGCCTCGATGCTGCACATGCGTGCGTGCGCGTGTGTGTGCGCGCGTGTGCGTGTGCGTGTGCGTGTGTGTGTGCGTGTGCGTGTGCGTGTGCGTGTGTGTGTGTGTGTGTGTGTGTGTGTGTGTGTGTGTGTGTGTGTGTGTGTGTGTGTGTGTGTGTGTGTGTGTGCGTGTGCGTATGTGTTGTGCCTCGATGCTGCACATGTGCGCGCGTGCCTCGTTTTACATGGTTGTATTTCCACCCCCACCCCCCACCCCCAAATTGCACCGTTGCATTTCCACGACTCACACGTCACGTGGCTGCTTCCTGTCGTCGTGCTCCCTGTCCACTTGAACCACGCTTGTGCTTGGTTTCCCTTTCAGGCGACTACCACGTGCATGTGTATGACACAGAGGACATGCGGCAGGGTGACTACTTCAACTGCTACACGGCGTACCTTGAAGGCCTGGAGGAGGCGCACATCCTGAAATGGCCCCTGTACAACACAATGCAGACGCAGACGGCGTGTCTGATTGCATTGCGCAAGCTCGCCCGCGCCCGCAGTGTCGCTGCGGCGTTCAACGCTGCCGTGGCAAACTTCACATCACCGCCGCCGCAGCGGGTGGCGTTTGTGCAGACAAAGGCGCTGCAGCTGCCGGCGCGCACGGCCGCCAACGAGGGCGTGGACGAGAGCCCCTGGGCGCTGTGCGAGGTCGATTTGGAGGACACGCCGGCACACCGCGACAACACGGCGGGGCTGCTGGACTACTTTTGCCTGTGGAACGACGCGTTTGGCGGGGTGGTGAGCGAGGAGGACATGGACCCCGGGGACGCCGACGACGACCGGTCGTGGGTGGCGCGCTTTCACGAGCTCAACACCACTGCGCAGAGCCTGAGCTGCTTCAGCTACTTCTACAGCAAGCGGGCGTCGCTGCTGATCAAGGTGCAGGGCGTGGGCACGACATACACCAACCCCGACTTCCACTTCTCTGGCGGCTCCGATCCGTATTTCTCGCCCAACAATCAGGGCGATGAAGGCATTGCCAACTTCTTTGCCTCGCACAAGCACACAGACATGTGCAAGCATGCGTTGCAAACGCTGCCGGGGTTTTCCGAGGACTGGCTTGGCAGTGGCTGAGAGAACAACTACGGTGCCTTGTGCTGTGTTGTTGTTGTGCTGTGTATGCGTGTTGTTGTGTTGCGCTGTGTGCGTGTGTGTGTCACGTACTTGTGCCGCCTGTTGTGTGCTTGTGCTGTCCTTTGCGTTTTGCCCTGTCTCAATGCCTGCTTTGCTTCAAGCATAGTTGTACTCTTTCCTCTTTGTATCTGGCTTTGATGCTTTCTTGTAGCACGAGATTAGCTGAGAATGGTGTGGGTGTGATATTGTGTGGTGGTGCTCTGTTTGTTACTTGATGGGTTGACATGTGATTTTTTTAATACCAACGAACGCGTGCAGTAGACTTGTGGCGCATGGTGCGTGGTGCGTGCGTGGTGCGTGGTGCGTGTTCATTACATGCTCTGGACTGGAATCTGGCCTTGCTTGCTTGCCTTGTGTCCCTTCCATTCCTCTTTGCTTGCTTGCATGCAGTCGTGCACTGGTTGATGAGATGTAAAATGTGTGACCGAAAATGAAATTACGGCTGTTGGGCCCAAAGCAAGCAAACTTTGCGTCGAGTTTGTGTGCGCCATGCTAACACGTGCGCTTGCGTGCTTGCTCTTGTGTTGCGTGATGTGACAAGACATTTGGGTGCTTTTATGCGTGAAGACCGGATAACGAACAAGACACAAAGAGAAGGTAAGGCAGCGAGGCCAACGAAGAGGCCACGGCAAAACACCCACGAACACTATACCACACAGAGGGAGAGAACAACACCAGCAAGACAATGCCAACGCTGACACCCGCCCGCTGGCAAACCCCCATGCATGCAAGCAAGCAATGAGTAGACAGGATGGTTGGCAGAGAAACAAGCAAACAAGAGGTTTGAGGGAATGGCCACGAGATGTGGCAAGACAGGAAGAAGGTCAGGTATGTATCAAGGCAGACGGCACAGCACATACAAATAGCAGCCAGAGCAGGTCACCAGCCAGTCAACCAACCACGTGCGACAAGGCAGCATGCTGCGCACGGGGAATGGAACAACTGGAGGCAGAGGCTGCCATGGGTTTGCGTGTGTTGTGCGTGAATAGATGTGTGTGTGTGTGTGTGTGATAGCGAGGGAAGGGGAAGCGCACGCGCTGTTTACTCAGAATTGGCAATGCAGCGGTTGTTGAAGTTGCCCCTGCCAACGCTAGTGTAGCCATCAGGGCACGCATCCAGACACACACCCTCGAACAGGGACTTGCGGTTGCCGCACAGCACGCAGTTCTGACGCGCCAGGTCGCACTGTCAAAGACGGGAAGATGGGTGAATTGGGGAACAAAGGCAAGTGCGAGCAAACAAAAAGCAAGAGTGGCGAGTGGAATCAGCGTGCAGTCAGCGCAACGAAACAACAACAACAAGAGTCACAGAGGCGGCCGCCGCAAAAGCAAGAGCAAACACACACACACACACACAAAGAAAGGTGGGTGGACACGATGTTCTTTCTTACCGTGTGGCAGTCGTTCTGCTTGTCGACGCAGACCTTCTCGCAGCGGCGGTTGTAGTTGCCAGAGCCGATGGCGGTCAGGCCAACTGGGCAGGACTCAACGCACTGCAGGGAACAGCAGCAGCAGAGGTGTAAGTCGTGGGTGCGCGCGAAAGGGATGTGAGCACATGGCAAATGAGGTGTGCTGCAACATTGATGAAGCACAGGCGCAATCACATGCAGGCTGGACCGCACGATGGACGAATCAGGCCCGACAAATGGGCAAGTGTGTACCTGGCCATCGTGGAGGTAGAGGCCATCGCGGCACAGGAGGCAGGTGGACATGATCGGGTGGCAGCGGTGGCAGCCAACAATGTCGCACGCGTACAGGGGCTCGCAGTACCTGGTAGATTGAGATTGGAGGAGTGGAACGGTTGGAAGACAAGAAGAAGAGCAGGGGAAGGTAAGTGGGCGGGGTAGGGTGTGAGCACTCGATACACACACAAACACAAACACACACACACACGCACGCACGCACACATATCAATGTGCGAGCAACATGCACGCTTGTGATTGTGGCGCGTGTGGCAACACACAGCGCGGTGGGGGATGGGGGGGGGGGGACAAAAACAAAAACAAACAAAGAAAGACGACAACGGTAGACATGTATGCATGGACGTGTAAATGAAGCGGAGCACGGCATTGCGGTGTGACGCACCTGTTGAAGTTACCGCGACCACGGGAGCGGTAGCGCTCCGCTGGGCAGTTACCGACGCACTTGCCCTTGAGAAGGAACTGCGAGTTTGCACAGAGGATGCACTCGGAGCCATCTGGGGAGCACGTGTGGCAGTCGTCCTCGCCGGCAACGCAGTCTGGGACCTGCTCGCAGCGGCGGCGGAAGTTGCCACGACCAACACCCGTGAAGCCAGTGGGGCATGTGTCGAAGCAGGCGCCATCGTACAGGTAGCGCCCGTTCTTGCAGACGGAGCAGACGTTGTCCTCCGAGCACTCGAAGCAGTTGTCGACGTTGCACACAATCTCCTGGCCGCTGCCCGTGGTGGTGGTGGCCTCCTCGGAGGTGGTTGAGGCGGGGCTTGTGGTCACGGGAGAGCCGCTGGTCTCGGTGTTGGTGGACGTCGAGGTGGAAGATGATGTGGAAGAGGAAGAAGAGGACGATGTGGAAGAGGAAGAGGAAGAGGAAGTGGAGGTGGAGGTGGAAACAGCCTCCGTGGCCTCTGTGCCCTGGTTGCCCTCGGTCGAAGCAGCGGAGGAAGACGAAGAAGTAGAGGTGGAGGAGGACGTGGAGGAAGAAGAGGAAGAGGAAGTGGAGGTGGAGGTGGACGTGGAAACAGCCTCCGTGGCCTCTGTGCCCTCGTTGCCCTCAGTCGAAGCAGCGGAGGAAGACGAAGAAGTGGAGGTGGAGGAGGACGTGGACGAAGAAGAGGAGGTGGAGGTGAACGTGGAGCTTGTTGTGTCCGCGGCCTCTGTGCCCTGGTTGCCCTCTGTCGAGGCAGAGGACGACGACGAGGATGTGGAGGATGAGGTGGAGGAGGACGAGGATGTGGAGGTAGAGGTGGAAGTCGTCTCCGTGGCCTCCGTGGTCTCTGTGGCCGGGGCGTCGGTGGTCTCAAGGGCGCCTTCGTCTGTGGTGGCGGGCCAGGAGGATGTGGACGAGGAGGAAGAGGAGCTAGTGCTTGTGGACGAGGAGGACGAGGAGCTAGTGCTGCTTGTGGTGGACGAGCTGGAGGAGGTGGAGGTGGAGCTGCTCGTGGACGTGCCAGGGCACCATGCAGCGCACGCCGAGCCGTACCTGCAATAGTTGTCGTTGTCGTTGTTGGTGTTGGTGGTTTGGTGTGCGAGTGAGCAAGTGAGATCTGAGGTGTGCGTGTGTGAAGGCAAGCGCGCCACGAGGACAGAGTTGGGAAACAAGAATACCAAAATAAAGCAAGAGAAGGGCAGAGGGCAGAGCGCGATCCCAAACAAAGGTGCTTTTCCAGCCAAACAAAACAAAGTCAAAGTTTGACGTGCTGCTGCTGGGAATGGGGACTTACACTCCGTTGTCGAGGACGGCGCACTGGTCACATGTCTGGCAGGCAAAGCCGTCCGTGCAGTACGAGTCCTGGGGGCAGTGCTCATTAATCTGACACTCGAGGTCCTGGTTGCGGCACTTCTCTGGGCACTCACCAGAGCCATCAAATGGGTCGCGCACGCTGTTGTAGATGCGAAAGCACGTGGAGTGTGTGTGCGTGCGTGTGTGTGTGTGTGTGTGTGTGTGTGTGTGTGTGTGTGTGTGTGTGTGTGTGTGTGTGTGTGTGTG